TCTTGTAAGACTCACAGTGCAAGATCCTTCATGGGCAGCAAACTGTTAATCTGGTTACATACAGTAACTCTTAAGTGTGCTTGCATATATTTTTTCATAGTACTATAATCTTTTGGAGAATGACAGTATTTTGTTTTACAACTGAAAGATAAATATATATACAAATATCGCATAAATCTGTCTTTAAGCAAGCTGCATTGTAGTAGAGCAAAGTGAATCTCATTCATTTCTAACAAAGATAATTAAAACCAAACAAACCCCAGAAAATTACAGACTAAAATTCTCCATTGGTCTGCCTAAAATCCCCATCAGCTACTGGAAACAAAAACCTTTAATACAGGCCCATGATGTAAATTTGCTTATGGCTTGATCGTAGAATGAAGTTTGGCAGCTTGCTCTTTTAATATGCAAAATTATATTCCGAAAGAAGCACCAATCAAATAAAAACAGAAAAAAAAAAGATTGTTTCAGAATAAGACTGTTTTTAAGGAGAAGTTTCCATAATTTGTTCATGTAGAAATCATAGTATAGCTGAACATTTACATCTGATGCAATAAGCCAAGTTAAAATCTGCCCCCAAGTGACATGTATATTATCTGTTATCAGGGAAGGAGAAGTAGGGGGGGATGCTCTTTGAGATAATGAAAATGTAAAATATTATCATATTGATTCTAATATCAGAGGTGTGAAAATATTGACTCATACTTCTGGTGATATTCTGACTAAACAAATGTGTGTTTTACAAAAGCAAGATAACAAACTTTACTATTAACTTTAAAACCATATCAGTGTTGCCTTTATTTGCACTCCTGTAAAGCAAGGGTGTTTATTTAGTCTTGCACTGTACTCCTGTCTACTCGTTTGCTCGGAAAGCAAAAGAAATCTCTCTGAAGCTTCTGTGAGATACATACCAGAGCTTTATGGACAAGCACTTATGCCAAATCATACTCTTACTGAAATAAGGTGCAAAACTCACATTAATTTCAACAGGAATAGTATTTTCTAAGATTTACTGTGTATGACTGGACAGTTGGAATGAGGTAATTGTGTTTTAGAAGAGAATCACATTAGATTCGTATTCAATTATGAATATTTTTCTCACTGTAGGAAATTCAGGAAATATTTAGACCCTTTCTATGGTCATGTTTGTAATGCCTTGCTATCTCTATAAACCAAAACCAGGACATTTACAGGTATTCAGGTTCCTAAATATGTAGAAATCAAAAGGAGTTAGCAACTTACGGAAACAAATGTCAACGACCAGCTGTCATCAATTGCCTAAATATTTTTAAAATCTGACTGTATATATTTCTACATTGATTCCACTTAACTATATTCTATATTCTTACTAAGAGGGGAAAAAAAATGTTCCACTGAAGTCTTGGTGGCTTCCATAGTTACTTTGGAATGATTTTTGTGATCATCTAGAGCAAAGTGTGTATTAGGCATTTGAGTGACTCATTTAGTAAAACAGCTGAAGTGGTCTTTTTTTTTTTAAGGGTCTGTCAGCAAGAGCTGCACTGCATACAGTTGAGGCGTGCTCTGCTTGCTGAGAAGGTGAAAAAAGAATCTGTTGTATCAATTGACCTTTAACTGTAATCATGGGAACAAAGCAGATAAAGTAGAGGGGAACAAAGTTTGAGAATAGAAATAGAAGATTCAAAAGAAAAGAATTTAAACAGGGTGAGAAGAAATGATTCTGCTATCTTTAGCTACTTAAACAGTGTCCTTTTATATAAAATTATATTTACACACAGTCGTAAAGTGCTGTTTGAAAGGCAGTAAGGAGCATCTCCTGATGCCAAAAAGTTAGAATGTAAGTGGTATGTACTCTAACAAAAGATTAGGACAGCATGTTCAGTTTGAAACCTGTTGGATATTGCTAACGATGGACAAGGGGAAAAAAAAAAAGGAACATCTGAATCATGGAGATTAAATGGACAACTTTGACAGAAGAAATGCTCAAAGAATAATGAAAGGAATACTGTCACTGCCTTGTGCATGTGGAACATTTGTTAAAAGAGGAAGGGGAAAACATATATATACACATATATGTATATATGCTACATACATACTCCTTCCTTTGCTAACTCTAGAATATTCTTAGAAAGAAAGATTCTTAGAAAGAAGAAGATAAATAGATCTATTTTAGTTCTTTCCTTTTTTTTTTCAATTGCAGCACTATGTATGAAAGCTGTGCACATCTTCAGAGTACAGAATTAAAATAGGAAGTTGTAGGATAGTCTTGATTATAGAGAATATTGTTTTCATCCTACATATCTGAGCTGTATCTCACACAGGATTACTTCAATATCAGATCCAGCAGATGTGGGTCAAATTTTATGGATAGGCAGACTTATCTGCGTATTCTGTAGGTTTGGAATTATGATTATATTTCCCATGATAATACACAAGAGCTTGGCAAGTGTCAATGTGCAACATGAGATTTACAGTGTTATACAGTCTTGCTTCAGATAATATTCTCGGTATATATATGCACACATTCTATACTGATATCATTATATGAGTCTGTGTATCGAAATCTTTGAAAATATGGCCGTGGGTGCTATTGCTCAAAAAATATTTATTGCTTTGGTAGAAGGTGGCAGAGTCATTGCTGCCTGTTTTCTGGGCAGCAGTATGTAAGTGAATTATAAAGAACTTTTCTTATTTACATTACAAACACCTGATACAAAATAGGTGTGATACTGCTGTTTTCAGTGTTGCTAAAATAAGCTTTATATTCATTTTGTAGTCATCTTTGAAAACTCATATCTCTATCCAATTCAAATGTCCAGTTCCGTTCCACTGAAATGGATAGGAATTTGTGATTAACTTCAAGTGGGATGAAGATCAAGGTTGATGGCAGACAGCCTGTTTCTTTTCTGTTTCAATTGTATTTTTCTGTTCATGCAAGTACATTGTTGGCTCTCTTTTCTGCTGAGTATCTCATTCTTCTAGCTCTTACTGTGGACATCTTTTTTTTCTTACTACCCAGAGCAGTTTCATTCTTTTCATTTCTCTGCTTAGGATATTTGCTTTCTTTATCAACTACAGTGTTTGTTCAGTTGTATAGTGCTATTTTTATTATTAGTTCTGCATATATATATGTTACAAACAGAATTATTCTTTTATCCCTCTAGCTAATTTAGAAAAAGAAGTCTGTCTGATTTTTGACATCAGGAGATTAAAGTCCTTCTACCTTTTATCTAAGTTTGCTATATGCCCTTTTCTGAGCTTGCTATTTCCTGCTCTGTCCATCTATCCATAAAAAAGTAATCTGGGAGTTATTAGAGTCAGCTACAAAGAATCATAAAATAATTTGTGTTTCTACTCAATTACATAGCTTTAGGAGAAATAGTAATAGGGAAGAGGACAGTTTTTATGGCAGTGAACAAGGATACATGCTGTGCATTATGTACCATTGTGATGATGACCAAATTGATACAGATCCTCCTTTTAAAATGCAAGCATTGTTACTTTTCTGCAGCACTGTGATCATCTGTTTACTTGGCAGCACCTAGTCATTGTAAAAAAAAAAAAAAAATCCCAAATCAGATTCCCTCCAAAATGCCTGTGAAGGGATGGGCATCTAGGAATGGATTTTTAAAATATGGGAGCTGCTGAAGAGAGCTGACAAAAGGCTAAGAGTGGGGTGAATTCTTAATAGCAAAATATTTAGCAGAGCAAAGCTTGGAACACTAGTTCTCATCCACCCTCTTGTCACTCTTCCTTCCAATTGCTGTGTTTGAGAATCATGCTGAGTTTTCTCTTGCAGCTGACAATGTCAGATTTTGCAATGAGCCTGTTTTATCTCTTCTAATATGTGTCAGGATACAAAGTGTTCAGTGACTCACAGTTTTGACTGTCACACTCTAAAGGTTGACACATGTCTTAGCTGGTTTATAGAGTTAGCCTTGATGAATATAGTTTTGGACTACAGTATGTCTAAATCCAGTAACTGTCTTCAGTAGGTTATTTTTTTCTATTCTAATAAATGTATTTCCATCTTATTCATTATAGGAGAGATTGTGTAAACAGCTGGTTTCCTCAAAATACTGCTGGAAATCTCATGTTAAGTTTAAGAGTCTGCAAAACTAACTGCAAGGACTGAGATTTTTTTTCCCCTATTTTGTCAAATGGCTACAATGAAGAAAACCAACGCTCAATCTGGAATTAAACTGCCTGATGGCCTTCCTTACCGGGCAGCATGTTACACCAGATAGATATGAAAACATAGTGTAACATAATCCAATCTTTCCTATTTTGTGCGACTGTAATTACAGAAGTTGGTATTTATGAGAGAACCAGAATTGCCTACAAACACAAATCCTTCTGAAAGGCAACAAATCCAGTGGCACTTAGTCTGATTAGGGCTTTTGAAAGATAAGCTCTGCTGAGTGTCGCAGAGAGAATTTCAGATGTTACAGCTTCAGTTGCCCATTCCAAGCATCTGCTAGAGACTGTAGAGGGCTGTAGAATACTTTTCCTGGAGATAAAAGTTGGAGAGGATTTTGACTCTTAATTCAGTAAATGTTTCATTTCTGAAACATAAAACTACTGGTATTACTACATAAAGGTCTGGTTCACCTTCCACTTTTATCATTAGAAATTTGCCAAAATCTTCAGCAAAGATAGGCTCAGAATAGTAATATCAATATTAATTAAGCAGGACTTGACAATACTAAACAAGTGGATGAATGTTAGGTGTTCTGACCTGTCACAGGGCCATGACAACATACTAAAAAACTTTCCCTGTTTGGAATACACCAGAACTGCCAGATTACTTACAACAGATTACCTACAAGGGAGATCTAATTGTGAAATAAATATATTTAACATTTGTATTTGATTCTTTTGAGTTCTGGTGTTCCACAGGAGCAATAGAATGTGTGAGAAGTATGTTCTTACTGGTGTCTATGTAGGAAGGTCAAAACATTTTAATCAACGTAATATAATATTGTAAATCTTGTTAATTTTGTGCATTGTTCCTTTTTCAGATGAAGTGGCAATCTGTCCTGCCACAGCAGTGTATATTGCTGATAACATGTCTTCTAATGGCTTTGGAAGCTGTACCTATAGACATAGACAAGACAAAAGTTAAAGGAGAAGCTCATGCAGAAGGAGAAAAAGTAGAAAATCCAGTAAGTAAAATTAAATTTGCTAATTCAGTATTTTATGTTAATCGTCAGTAACCTGTCTATAGCAAACTCCTATTTAATTTAATATTTAAACTTAAATAGATTGTAGTTATGTGCAGAAAGTAAAATAATATTTACCAATTTTGTCACATGGTCTATCATATATTATGGTGGGGTATTTCTATTTCCTTTTTTCCTGGCAGCTAAAAGTGAGATGACAAAGGGAATGATTCCCCCAGCTTACACTGGGAAGAACTGCTTATTGCTCAACAGATTTTCAAGTGATTGAGTGATGGCCTGGGAAATTCCATGCAATGATTTTCCTGATAAGAATACCATTTTCAGTTGGGTGCTTTACACAGAAAAGGAAAAGATTTGGTCAGGGAAATACAGTTAACTTTTACTCACATGGAGTTTTCTCAGCTGCAAACTGTGTTTGTGACTACTACAGAGTAAAGACATTTGAGATCTTGTATTTGCTAAAGTGCAGATTTTGTCAAGAAACCGAACTCTAATATCAGCTTCTAGTTGATGGACAGTAATGTTTGAAAGCCAAATAAACTCTGTAGTTAAAGCAGATTTTTTTTTTCTCAAAATGAGTTATTCAGTCCTAGCACAACACCTGGTTCAATGGAGTGATCTTCTGAAGAGCATTTCATTTGCCACAAGCCCTCATGGGGTTTATGACATAGCCTATGTCATAGGAATATTAATTCAAACTTAACATTTTTTTTTTGAAGGATACAGGGCTCTATTATGATGAATATCTCAGACAAGTAATAGATGTCTTGGAAACAGATAAGCACTTCAGAGAGAAACTCCAGACTGCTGATATAGAAGAAATAAAGGTAGGTACAAAGAATTAAATTAAGATTAATTAAATCCATAATCATGTAAGATTTATGTTGCATGTTTTCTTCTTTTTCATTTTCCTTCTTACTCATCTCAGTTTTGTGGGCTTAAATTTCTTCTTTCAGTTTTCATTTACTTACCTATTTAGTCAGCTAATTCCTGAAGTTGCTTTTGGCATCTTTTGGCTCTTCTCTCTGCTCTGCTACCTGCAGTATAACCTTCAAAGGTCACTATGTTTCCAGCATGTGGTAAAATATCATTGTGCTGCTCTGTGGCTGTCACAGTGCTTACATCTCCACTTATGTTCCTCAAAAGGAGAAAAACATAGCACTGTGTATGTTCATCTTGCAGCTTTCCTGAACTTATTTGAGAACAGCTGGCCACGAAATTTGTCACTTATGAAGTATTATTAGGTGTTTTTGACTCAGAGTTTTACTTAGTCTTTTGGAGAATTAAGATTTTTAGAAATTCTCTTTTCAGAAACCTTTTAGAACTCCCTTCTGTTTCTATAACTATAGGCTTAGCATTCAAATAGTCTTTTTCAGATTCTTGCAGTCTGGGCTACAGTATTGCTAAAGACTGCCATCAATTTGCTCATGTCTAGTGGAAATCCTAAAGACTGCTTTCCCTTGGTTTATATAGATAACTTTTTTTTTTTTTTTGACAGAGTGGAAAATTAAGCAGAGAGCTTGATTTAGTAAGCCACCATGTAAGAACACGACTGGATGAACTAAAAAGACAAGAGGTGGCAAGATTAAGAATGTTAATTAAAGCTAAAATGGATTCTGTTCAAGGTAAGAATACAAAATAGAACAAAGAAGTTTAGCAGATGGGTTTGTGCTGGACAGGTGCCCCAAATCCATCGCTTATGCTTTTGTCAACAGTAACTACTAAAGTCAGCCAGAAGTAAATGTCCTGATTTCTAAGCTGGCCTAGCACCAGTTAAGGGCACATCTTTTTAGAAAAACAGAAAGAAGAGAGAAACAATCTATATTTTATAAATAACAAAACCGGATTTTGGCAAGTGTTTTGAATTTTCTTATTCTTGAAAACATGTTTTAAGACTATGTTTAAGAACAGAACATGACAAAGCATTTACTAAGTTTTTCTTTTATTCTTTTTAAGCCTCATTTCTACCCATATAAGTTTACTTGGATTTATAACAAATATTAAATATTTCAGTTCAGAGGATTATTTTTGTTATTCTTTACAACATTTTTAAGGTCCAAAAAAATTATAATTAAAACATTTATAAATTTCTCCGTAGCATTTTTTTTTAATTGTTAATGCAATGTTACAGACTCAAGCCATTTCTTTATATGAGTGAAGTCTATAGGTTTCTTAATATTCTTAATATTCGGGGGGTGGGGGGGGCGGGGAGGGAGATGGGGGAAATGATGCTACTCTTTTTTTCTTAATATTGGAGGGTTCTTAATTCCAGATTGCAAAGTTTCCAGATAAAAGTAATTCAGTAAAATTCTTATTAGCTATTTCATCTATAAGAGAAATGCTTAGTAGACCAAGTTTCTAATGCAAACTTGTATGATCTCTTTTTCCCCCCCCACAAAGCAGCTCTTAAAAAAAGTACTTAACTTGCCTATACGGATTATTTTCCTGTGCATTAAAAGCCTTCTGTAAGCTACGAATGGGATCCAAGTGAACTGAATACCAATTCCAATAGCAATCCTAATGAGGTACTGAATCCGTCTTAGAATACTCCAGAAATTAAGTTCTGCTACTGCTAATATTATTAAACCTAAATTAGAGGCAACTAATACTCTGGAGAAAAGTACATTTCTGTAAATATGGGTGTGTAGGGATATTATTAGTGTCATGAAAAGATCAAAATTATTTGGCAAAAAAGGTATTTTTAGTGTAATACCTTTCTAGTGAACTTTTTAGGTACTACTGTAATATAATTGCTGAACACTTATGGAAAACTAGCTTGAGTGTGTTAGATCACTTTCCTATCCTTTGTGCTTTCTCTTAATGAAAGTTTTACTGCAGAGAGTACAGTCTACTGGTAGCCAGAGAGTGCAATCCAGCAGTAGCCCCTGCAGAGGAGCGAGCGCGTTGCTTCACACATGTGCCACCTCGCGTTCATCTTCCTCAGGCTGCTGTTAAGCTGCCAAGAGCCTGGTCTCATGCTCCTATTGCAGGCAAGCATTCGAGTCACAGTGATGCGGTGAGCTAGCTGGCAGTGGCTAATGACACTTAGTTGTGTGGATAGTAATTTTGTGTAGCAGAATGTCTTTTTACAATCTTCTCAAAGCTTTTGCTGCCCCAGAAGTTCTATATTACAATGTCCTTAGCTTGTACCCAAACTGTCTCATTTTATGTGACAAGCCTATCATTTTAGAAAACTTCTTGTTTGCAAAAAGAAAAAAAAATCCAACAACACTGGTTTATCAGAAGTGTTTCATAACTACTCGTAGAGAACTGCAACAAGTTTGGTTTTACTTTAAGCCATCTCTGCTTCCATAAATTATGGGGAAATTACTTTTCTAAAGCATGCTCTGTTAGTTATTTTTTCTTCCACAGCACTTCAGGCATATACATAGATTCCATGACTCTGTAAGTGTGAAATGTTATGTATGTGAGACAACAGGCATAAATGATTGTAATTTAAAATATTTAGGTTACTACTCATGTGTTAAAACAGCAAGAGTGGAAAAATACTTTTTCCAAGTTTGTAGTTTTAAATGTAACCAGCCCTGCCAGGGAATACTTCACACTATATACAGACCCTTTATATTTGGGTTTATAGCTAAATTAAAACACAAACACATAAAACACAACTGCATATACATACACACATCTGTGCAGTTTCTTGGGACATGTACAAAAGTGCATTCTCTGGTTGAGAAATGTAGAGCTATTGGATTTTCTTTTATTTGTTCTGTTTCCCATTTATCACCAGTTTCTCACCTTACTTTTAACAGTATAGTATGTGCATATATATATATACATATATAACATGTAATACATATATATAGACTTATTCCTTCCTCACATAGTCAGGTTAAAAAAATGAATGAAGTTTATGTATTCCATATATTCAGTCCTAGTCCATCATGTTTTTGAGAATTTGAACTGACATCCTGTTAGACTGATCAGTACAGGAAACAAGAATGTCAGGGATGGAGGGACTTTTTCCCCCTCTCTGTGTGACATTTCAGATAAGACAATAACATCGCCAATAAATGCTATCTAGTAGGAATAATATTTTTTCTATAAAGGTAAGGAGTGGAGGATTTTTTAAAGCCTCTTACTACACTTAGCAAATACTCCCCTTAAACTGTTTTTAAACATATTTCTTCGACAGAAATTATGATCTCAGTAGGTAGGGATGATGGTTGAAATATGTCCCAGACAGCAAATGCTCACTTGGGATAATACCAAACACAGCACAGAGTGAGAGCCAAATAATTTACCAGAGTAATAAATTTAAACAGATGTTTTCCAAAATTTGCTTCCCCCAAAAATCATGTTTCCTGAGCTGTCTAGTTTTTCAGAATTATTACACATACTATATCAAAGTATATGCTGCTTAAGAGAGTGTTGTTAACCTCACATTAATTGTCAGAAACCATGATAACATCTGAAAAAGTCTATTGTAGAAATTGGATTTGTTTTTACAGTGCATTGTTCATTTATATTGTTGGTATAGTCTGTCTGATACAGAAAAATGTTTACAGCTTTTAGACACAGGAACTGACTCTCCCTTATCTTGCATTTTTAGCTTTGGACAAATGGACTTTGAGTCTTTGTTCATGTGTTCTTTCTCAATCTTGTACCAGATGCAAGTTTTTGCATCTTTGGCCAGATATGTCATTTGCAAGACATAACCTGCATCTTTCTCCTGCCCATTAGGTCTGATACTACAGATAACTCCACTAGAAGCCTAGGGAGGTGTGTTTATTATGTCTCATTTCTGCAAAAAAGAAGTAGAATAAAATGTCTGTCTTCGTATGTGAAGCTCAGTCTGCTTGTACATTTGCTGGCCAAGCCACAAGCTTTAACTCCTGTGTGTTGAAGTGTGGTGTACAGTGCAATGCTGACATGTCAAAAGGAATACATTACAAATAGTCAAATTAGTTGATCTCCTTCAGGTAAAACTACTTTAGAAATGTTGCTATAGTTTGCTCTGATAGTGAAAACTTATCCAGTCCTCAGGGAACCCCAAGTACCCCAAAAGCACGAGCTCCTTTATGAAAGTTTAATTTCTTCATCTCTCTTGCTTTCGAACTTGTTCTAACATGTTTTTCATTTATACCTTGTTTTTTGCAGACACTGGCTTAGACCATCAGGCTCTCCTTAAACAGTTTGAGCACCTGAACCATCAAAATCCTGACACGTTCGAACCTAAGGACTTGGATATGCTGATCAAAGCAGTGAGTGCTAGATACAAACTAATATATATTTTTTGCTATTATTATGCTTTTTCTCCTGTGGTGAAAGCACATCATTTTATGTATACCACTTTTTGTAAATGACGCTCAGCTCTTGGTTTCAGGAAAGAAAAAAAAAAAGGGGGGGGGGGGGTTCCATTTTGTGCCTGAAACCTTTGTCATCAGCTTGCGTTATTTGAAAGGGCCCTTTAGTTTTGAGAGTGGCCTTTTAACAAGATTAGCCCAAGTGTATTTTCTGATTTCTGAAGTCTGATTTCTGTTTTTAAATTAGCTTAGATGTCTTAAACTGTGACATAAATAATTATCCTTAAAAAGGCATTTGAATTTTGTCATCTACTGAATATATGTCAAGCTACAAAACCACAGCACAGTAGAATTCAAAACATGAAAATTTGAAGTTCGATATGCTAGGCATGGCATTTGATGTACATTAGGTTTAGTAGTTTCAGTATCTAATTGCAAGTATTTAAAAATATAAATATATTTATTAGGGAAACAATTAAGTAAAGTGTGGCCTGTTTCCCTCTCCCCCGTCACCTGCTGAAACAAATATACTTCCCAAGGGGGAAAAAAGACTTTAGCGTAACTGTCTAGTGAGAGGGAACACCCACACACACTAGTCTACTTCATTTTTAACAGGAAAATGGCAGTACAGCCATTTTTGACCACAGATCTCTGATTTGTCAGTGGAACAGAACATACTTCTAACATAATTGTGTGTGTACATCTATTTTTAGGCTACAAGTGACCTGGAAAACTATGATAAGACACGCCATGAAGAATTTAAGAAATATGAGATGATGAAAGAACATGAGAGGAGAGAGTATTTAAAAACACTTGATGAAGAAAAGAGACAGCGAGAAGAATCTAAATTTGAAGAGATGAAGAAAAAGCATGGAGATCACCCTAAAGTACACCATCCTGTAAGGCTGCAGTCAGTTTTTATACATTTCAGAAGGTGCTTTCCTTATGGATGATTACAGATGTTCTTTCCACTAAGTATGCATTTCCTTGATTCTCCCTTTTCCATGGGCCTTCCTATTAAATGCAAATATTATACAGGACCAAGAGGGGATTAAGAAAAAGTCTATTGGTTCTAGTTAGAACAAAACAGTCTATTTGATAAACCATAATGCAAAGATAATGCAATACGGTTACACTAAATCATGTTTTGAATAGTTTTTCCCTCTTCTATAGGGAAGCAAAGATCAACTGAAAGAGGTGTGGGAAGAAGCTGATGGACTAGATCCTAATGAATTTGACCCCAAAACATTTTTCAAATTACATGGTAAGAGGCTTGGTAGAACAAAACAGTCTATTTGATAAACCATAATGCAAAGATAATGCAATACGGTTACACTAAATCATGTTTTGAATAGTTTTTCCCTCTTCTATAGGGAAGCAAAGATCAACTGAAAGAGGTGTGGGAAGAAGCTGATGGACTAGATCCTAATGAATTTGACCCCAAAACATTTTTCAAATTACATGGTAAGAGGCTTGGTTTAATT